GTATCGGTGAGAGAGAGAGAGAGAGAGAGAGAGAGAGAGAGAGAGAGAGAGAGAGCGAGAGAGAGAGAGAGAGAGATACATAAATGGTGCCCATGCTGCTGCATGTTTCGTGACGAGGTTTGTGTAACGTCTCCACTCAGGGTGTACTGATGATTCGGGGCTCATGCATACATTTGGCATTTGGTAGCCTAGTCAAGCGGACTACGACACAACCTCCTTTTCACACTCCCTCAAAGAGAACCCCAAACACTGGGGGGCCTCTAAAAGCCAGGGGGTTTGACAGCCCCCTATGTGCTGATGACGAAGAGAGATTCATGGGGCCAGTACCTTTTGTTTCCATCTGCTGCATCCATCCAGGGGGTCAGGCCTCTTTCCTGTTCTGTTGTTGGCAAGGCTTTATTTTATGTTGCATTGCTCATGCTTGAACCCTGACTCATGCAGGCAACTCATTTTCACACCACCAGAGAGCCTTTTGACCAGACTGTCCTTTCTCGCTGTTGCTTTAAACCCCGGTCAACAGGCGTTGTGGCCTTGGTGGTGTCTTCAGTCTTTCCAATCCCCTTCTACAACGGTCGGGGGCGCACGCGCGCGCAGGCTGGGGGAAAACCCCCGGCCCAGCGAAAGAAAGAGAGAGAACCATCGCCGGGGGGGATCAAAGAGGGGAGCAGGCACATGGCCAGATCGGACCATGATCACTTATTTGGTTTAAGCCTAGACCAAGGCTTTTTTCTGCGCACGGCGCTGCACCGAGAAGGCTTGCAGCCGGTGGCGATTGGTTCGCTGAGGCGAGGAATCTGGCTTGTGTGAGGTACTGACAGTGTCGTCTTTCTTTGTGGACTCGTGACCTCTGGCCTGAGCATCGAGCCCACGACAGATCCGATCCAATCCCGCAAAAGGATGCCGTTTGTGAAGCCCTAACCGTGACCGCCGCAAAGGTTTGGGAGGGAACAGGACCTGCGGCTGGGATGCAACTTGAGAGGGCTTGTCGTGTTTTCATCTTCAAACGTTCGTTCGACTTCGCCTGGTAACCTGTTCACTCCTGAGACTGAGGAGCTGTCGGACTCCGTGCTTGAAGAACTCGGACGGTTGTGTTTCGGCTCATCTGGCAGAGTATTCGTTGAGTCCCAACATGAGCCACGGAGGGGGCATGCTGCATGTTGCATATCGAAATATTGGAATCGATTATTTTTTCGGAGGCTTGGGCAAGAAATCATGGAGTTGTCATTGATGAATCTCTCCTGGCAGGATCGCCGACGTACACAGCTGGCCGACTACTTGGTTTGTAGCTCAGCAGGATACAAGACCCTCGTGCTGTTTGACTGTCAGTGGGATTTCGCCCGTGAGTTCAGCAATCCACCCAGGGTGAGCTCTGCCAGAACGCTGAAACAGACTCTCTTCGAAAGGGACTCTCAAATAGATCATCAGGCTTCCATTGGCTCCGCTCCATCCCAGGATCCTTTTCGAGCCCGGCTGAAGGAGCGCTGGCCTTTCCTGCAATCGGTTCCCGCTGCCTCCCACGTGCCTCCTGGCTGTGAATGGAAGGTGGGCCTTGCCATTCCGAAACCTCCGAATCTTCTAGTCTCTCTACGAAAGCAGTTCAACTTGCTGCGAATTGAACCCAGGTGGCCTTCCACATGCCGGGAGGAGCGCGGTGCTTTAACAGGGTTGCTTTTTTCCGAGGCAGGGACCCACATTTCAGCGCTTGGCTCATGATCATGACTTCGGGGATCTTCGAAGCAAGTTTGCAACCTGGGCGTGTACCGCTGCACTTCAGCGTCGTGTTAGTCAAGACATCACGTTGCTCACGTGCGCTTGCAGTTTGCGCGTCACCCCAAAAGGGTCAAGTCCGTTAAGCCATTAAAATCTCACTGGGGTTCCGCACATCACTCCTCTCTGGTCACAAGTTGTAACCCTGCTTGAAGGATGCGAAGCCCAAATCCAGGAAAATAGGACAGGTAGGGGCCTGGAAGACGACTTGGAGAGGAGAACTTGGCAGAGCTGTCAGAAGAGGCCTTGGCAGCTTGGCTCCGACCGCAGGCACAGGGAGCGCAATGGGATGCAATGGGTTGAGAGCGAGGGCTGCCTTTTTTGAGGAGGCGAGCATGCAAACACTAAACATCGAACATTGCGGAAGTTGCACAAGGATGTCCTGACAAGGCCTACCTGTGTCGGTTGCAGTTTGACGATGAGCGGGCTTCAATGTTCCATTGGTTGAGGATCACCGGACCGAAGGGCCAACGTCCTGACACGAGGAATTGCCACACCCAGGCAACAAGGCACCTCCACTTTCTTGCAGCGACGAATCCGACACAAACTTGTGAGTCCTTACTCTGTGTTTCTCATTATTCCGGCTTACCCATCCAAACGTGCAGTCGAGAAGACAACCTGCACTTTGGTGGGCCGGGGATGCGACTCGAGCTCACCCGAAAAGATGCCATGTCTAGGCCTTCACACCGGCCACAAAGATCGGCGCGCGTGCGGTGACTGTGTCGCTCGACTGCGATGGTTGGCATCGGCATCGACCAGAGTCACTCTACAGTCTCTACAGATTCAGGGTTTCCGAGGTGAAACCGCGTAAGGACTTTGTTGGAAAGCAGACAGGCAGGGCAGCTTCAGAGCAGCCCGGAAGTCAAGAACCCAGAACAACAGTACCCCATTCGGACGGTACGCTTGCCGGCGACCGCAGGCACGCGGACATCCACATGTTCAACCTGCTCCTGGGACTCGGTATACTCGGTCCGGCTTGACGACAGAGACAGCGCATCGAGAATCCAGCAGAGTCTGCTTCGCATAGCCGATAGCCTGTTAAGTTTTCCTTTGAAAGACAGGTCACCCGACTGCAACAGCTGAGCCGCCCAGGCTGCAAACCGATGACGGGCTGCGCATCATCGACTTCGAATGGACTGCGACCCGACCTTCAGAGCGGATGCCCTGAGGCCACTGACACCTTCAGAGCCAAGGTGGTCGCCCATGCAGCACAGGACTTGGCCACTGTTGTCCGAGTTTGCTGCCCGACGCTCGCCTGTTTTAGCACAGATCGGACATTGCTGCAGAGCTCACTTCAGAAGTTCTTTCGCTGCCACGAAGCTTCTAGCTTGATTGCAAGTCCCCCGCATAGCACGAGGGTAAGCTCCGTTGTTGGCGGCTGGGTGCCTGGCCTTGCAAGAATCGAAACCAAAGACCTCCGTCCTGCGCAGTAATTCGTGCACGCTAATGTTTTTAGACGAAGCTCGTTGTGTAACACGCTCAGAATGCCAGGAAAGATTTGCGCCAGAAGCGGCTCTTCGTCAAGGTCACAGTTTCCGATCGTGTTCAGGGTTTTGGGATGCATGAATTCGGGGTTATGGCGGGTCTGACGTGGTCTGACTTGTGGCCCAATTGCCCTGGTTGAAGGGTACAACACGGACTACGTGACTACGAGGTACGTTGAGGCAAATTGAAACAGTGGCATGCAAAGCTACGGTTGAACGACTCCTAAACATGTTGGATTGCCGGGGTAATCGTGCACGAAGGATGATGTCGGGCACAGCCAAACGACAAAGCTCACGCCTTTTGATTTTGCATCTCCGGCTAAAGAACTCCACAACCCCCGACAAGCAATACCGGCGCTGGAACCCAGCCGAGGCCAAGAGCAGTCCTACGCACACCTTGCCAAGCCTTGTGCAGGCCTACCTCGCTGCGTGCGCCGCCTCCACTGGCAATGAAGACGCAGCTTGGCCATGTTGGGAGCTTTCAGGCCAGCTTCGCATAGGGGTCATCGAGATGTTTCTCCCATCCGTCAATAATTTGACATGTCTCAGCTGGTTGCAGCCCAACGGCTTTCTACTGCGCCCGTTGTCGAGGCTTGCAAGTTGCAGGATCGCTAGTTGCTAGAGCTGTTGATGACGCGGTTTCGAACGTACGCCTGAGGAATTTCTACATGCGAGTCAGTCCTTGGTGAGACTGTTCTTAACCGAATTCGTTGTGAGTCTCAAGGCAAGCGGTCTCTACATCAACACCCTAGATCTTTTGACAGCAGCGTGTTCACGTGCGCTTGACAAAGGCCTGCTGGATCAAAGGTCGCTGCTCTAGCTGCAGACATGTTGGGGAGCTTCCCGACATGGCAAATGTGTCGATGCATGCACCTGTTGCAGATGGAGAATCGGCCCAAGTACAATCAGGAGACATCACTAGCAAAGATCAGGCCGAGAATAAGTTCGCCAATCTTCCATAATGGCTATCGCTGGATGCTGCAGCCTGATAGTGATTCCACTTTTTGCTGTTTTCATTGCTACTGGCTTGGTCAAAGTGGACATCACTCCACTGTTCCATGCTGCTGGTAAGTTTGTGCCGGAATACGTGCCGACAGCGGGTGACAAGGCGCTGACAGTGCCGAATGGGCAGATCAGAGACTTCTTGCAGAAGGCTGGCTTGAAAGGAGGAGCTGAACCTAGGGGTCCGTTGAAAGGCGTGTACATGCTCCTGGGCAACAGATGTGATATCTCTTTGGTTCTGTGCTTCCCCACCCAGACATGAAAACGCCACTCGGGATTCCGAGTACAGTAATTCGATATCGAAATGCTAGAATCGCACGCGGTCTCGACTCAGGTTTGAGCAGATGGGCCCAATGGCTTGGATTGACTTCTCCTACGCAACCTGGGAGCCTTCAATCGGAGCAGCTGACCTCAGCATGGGAACAGCCGCTTGTTGTATTCTTGGCATCTCTTCGCAAGATCTATGAACATCGATAGAGAGACATGCAGAAGAACAGAAGCCTGTACACGCACGCATGGTCTCATTGTACTATGTATACCCCCGTATGTGCACGTATCGTTCTGCTATACATCTTTGAATACAGACATACAATACAGGTATGATATGCGGAGGCATGTGTACGACCGTGCAAGCATGCGTGTATGGTAACTTGCCCACGGCCCCCATCAAGTCCAGGAGCCTTGAGCCTGCATGGCCATGGCCGGCAGCACCATGCAAGCTTGGGGCCGTAATGATGCCAAGACCTGAAACTCCGATTCTTTATGGTATCTTTCGCATCGCAAGTCCCGAAAGTGTCATGTAGTTGCTTTGCTGAGATAATTTCAACAAACAGCGCAGCGCAACGGCGTAAGATAACGTAAAATGCAGGAGAGTGGAGAACCTCGGGCCGTAAGCACGAGACATGGAACTGATACATTAGATCAGGACATGAAGCCTTGCACAGCACAGCAGCCGAGTAGTAGTAGGGATCCGCTCTCGCCCCTTGGTTACAGTACTCCACAGCTGCGGTATTCTTTTGTGGCAATCCTGAAGTTGATCGTGAAGCCACATGCCGTAATAGTGTACAATGGGATGGCACGGCATTGCACACTGAATTTGCCATTCCCGGGCCGGGACTAAGGTCACAGCTCAGTCTGGAGTTCCAAGCCTTGAGTTTGGCGGAATTGGTCCCTACTTTCCTGGCGGCTACGTGGTGCCGGTCATCGAATGGGGTCAGTACAACGTGCGTTTCTATTGCCCGGCCGAGATGAAAGACGGAGACTATTGCAAAGTGGTGGAGTCCCTTTTTCAGAAACCTTTCCCGAAGAAAGATGAGATCGGGTCAATGCTTTGGCACATGACGCGCTTTGACGGAGGACGCAAGTATGTAAGAGGCACATGGCTCGTACCCCCATGGGTCACTCCGGATGAGACATACCCAAAGACACGTGAGAAGTTCCACAGTTACAACTTATTTGTGCTCATGCACGGCAATGGAACAATCGATGAAGAACACTTCAGCCGTTTGATGGCGAAGTTGGATGGGCAAGACCTTGTGGTACCGAAGGCGCTAGGAAGGTTTCTCTAAGGATGCCTGCTTTCGTCGAAGTGTGCAGTTTGCAGCAAGAGCTGTTTTCATTTGCTTGCGACACCTTGTGACAGAAGTGACCAACAGTGTCGCTCGGCTTTTAATTGATTCGTAGCTTGGTATCCCTCTGTGATGACAGCGCGAGCAGCAGCTGGAGAGACAAGCCAAGCATGGCAAAGGCGTGCATCTTCGACCGACACTGTGCCTTCAAGCCACGCTGGATGCTGTCTGCGAGCAAGCATCGAAGCCCGAGACTCGAAAGACTTGCTATCTTGAAGCATTCGACTCAGGTGGATCAGCTCCTCTTCGATGCCGAGGCCGAGCCGAGTGGCATGCTGTCGCACATCGGCAGTTGTTTTCCCTCGAGTTGGTGGAATCTCTGTATTTCTCGGTCACGGCCCAGGACCCTAGGACTTGCGGCTCAACCATTGCTCAATCAGGCTAGCATACGCAGCCAGTGCTCAGGTAATAGCCTGGTTTTCGGGTTCATACGCAGGCCAACACAGCTTGCATTTCCTCCCTTGCAGGTCTGCTTCCTGACGAGCCACATGGGCCCGCTTTTTCCGGGAGATGACGATGACGAGCGTCGCACTCTGCCGTGATGGTAGCCACATAGTCATTATGAGTGAATCTTGTGCTTGCATTGGATTAGTTATATAACAGGAGAAGGAGCGTTTGCCAATTGCAATGCCAGCATCTTGAGCGCACCTGCGCCAGTCCCCCTACACTGCTTCTGGCCTGTGCATCTCTCCCCACAGACCCATACTTTCCACCCAGTGCTGGATGTCTCTGGCACATAAGACAGTTCGTGACTCTGACAGAGCCGAGAGGCTGGCTAAGCAATCTGGAAGACTTCAACAGCTTCATCGGCTTCGCCCGCGCTTCGCCGACTTTGCGAGATAAAGTCCTGGCCACCCGGCACCGGAACGGACAGGGCAACAATGGTCGGCCATATCTTTCATCTCTTTCTGTGCGTTCTGGCATCAAATTGACATGCCATTTCCATGCTGCATGCAAGGAAGATGGCATCGTAAGGTACGTCAAGGACCTCGCGTCGAGCGCTCGAGGTCTGAAGCGTTTGGACCTTCTTGTAGAGTGACATAGTACCGCGACAATCAAAGGCTACCTCGTTGAGCGGAAGACGGTTTGCAGAGCTACCGAGCATCGCCCCAAGTCACAGGACATCCGCATGGTGGTCAAGGCAGGCAGTCCAGTGGTGCTTTGCACCTGTCAAAACCTTGTCAACGTGGCCCAGCAGTATTCAAGGATGTGGAACGTGCGAGACTTTCGGTGCGTGGGGTCTAGGACTTAAAAAGGATTGAGGGAAGCGTTTTCCTGAAAATGAGGATTGAGGATGCATTCATTCTGGCAGGTTTAAGATAGCATCTGGCGGAAGCTGGTTGGGGGTCGCCCACAGGTGCAAATTCCGCTGCGAGGTAAGCGTGAGGACAAGCTCAGGGATCGACGCAGTACATCGCAGTACTGCACGCAAATCGTCCTGGTTTTGAACGCGTCCGTGGGCGTATTGGCAGTTTAGAAGAGTTAAACGTGCAGGCATTGGCATACATGCTGTCATTCTGTTGAGGATGCAACCCAGGCGTGAAGTTTGAGACACGCACGGTTCATGTGAAAGTCCGCTGCTTGAGCTCAGGATCAATTCTTCCTGCATGAGGATGGCACGCTCTCGCCTGATGCTCGCCGCGATCTGGACTCTCGGCAAGGTATTGTCATGCTCACTTCCTGGTGGTGGCAGGTGGCTAGCAGTCACTAGCGACTCCAACAGAAGCGTGAAGGATCAGCTTCTGGGGCCCTTTGAAAGGCTGAGCATGCGTGGCCTTACAGCCTGCTTCGCGCAGAGGAAAATTGCAGAAGTCAGTTAGCAAATTTTGCAGCTTTGGAGATGCTCAGGTGCTAACATGCAAGGTTTCCGACACCTGAGGCTTTGGGAACGGATGCCGATGGCTGGGTTGTTCTTGCACACCGTTCTGGCAGCGATGTGCTTCGAGCCTGGGCAAAAGAGCTCGCCCTTGGCAGCCACATGAACTGCTGTTTTCGGTTAGTGTTCATTCATCCTTCCCAAAGTCGCCACCCCGGCAAGGATTCCAGGTCGTGGATGCGAAGGGCACCACCCCCCAGGCAGCATGCAGGATGTCCGCGCGTTCCGGAGATTGCTGTGTCAAGAGCTGCGGCAGAGGGCCTGGAGTTGGAGGTACGGAACGTCAGCGAGATGTATTTTGAAGGTTCTTGGTTCGGTTCTCTGACTTTGCTATTGCCCGCTGCTGCAGGCCTGCCAGACTCGCAAGGGCCACTTGTGTTTCAGACAAGCAGCGGACAGCGGTAGACAAGACAGTGGTGACCAGGAGACATCAGACTCGGCACTCCCGTGGACCTCTAAGATCCTTAACGTTCTCGAAGCTGTCGTAGCACTGGCTTATAGGGAGGTGAGATGGGCCACCATGGGCCACCCTTAGCACCACATTCCTTCCGTTCAGGCGCTTACCCTCCAGAGCGAAGTTGGACGCGGCGTAGTCATTGCTGAAGAAACCATGGTCGGCCCTTCGCAGGCGCGCGAAGTTTTGAAGTGCCGAGTGCAGCATGGAAGTTTCAGTGATGGGGTGATGGGCCAGAGAATCACAAGCGAACTGCATGTGGTCACTCTGACATGCTGACCCGGCTTGATTGCCATATTAATAGTCCCGAGCTAAGCAAAAAAACAAGAGCTGCACCGTTGTGTTGGCAGTAAGAAATGCAGCTCGCTCTCGCGAGCAACTTCGGGAGAAGCGCTTACACTCTGGACTTTGGCAACCGTGAAGCCATCGACTCTTATGGCAACCCGCACCTGAAGACACATCGGAAGGAGAATCGTACCAATCGGAACTCATGAAATCCTGTAGACAAAGCTTTAGATGTGGATGACGACGTTGCAGTTGCTTTCTTCCAGTTTGCATTGCTAGCTGCTTGCTGTTGACCCGACCCACCGAAGCACAGGTCTTTCCGGAACTGAGCTACTGTAGTGGGTAGTCACGAAAAATACTGAGCTGTCAAAGGTGCGGAAGCTGCGCCTCGGAAATTCTTCGGATGCTGTGATCGCGTCTTGCTGCAGATCTCGGGCTTTCCTGAGACCCGTACAGCAATGTTGCAGTTCCTTTCGCTTCTGGTGACTGAGTACAGCTTTCCATTATGCTGCTGGTGTGATCGCCGCCGAGTTCGTATTGCGCATACTCTTTCATGTTTCGCTTGACTCGTGTGAGCCAATTGACTCCACGAAGGTGGTGGCAGACGGCTCGCTTGTGCGCCTCGCCGGTGAAAATGCTCTGGCCCTTCATGCCATTCTGCTGAAGTGATACGGGTAGCCCAAAACCGCTTTCCGCCTCTCGGGCTTCTCGCATGCTTCGATGCAGCTTGGTTAACAATCCACCGCCATATCATCCTCCCTCATTATCATCATCATCGTCGCATTACTCGCCGTCATTATACCCCCTGACCCCCCGCCACACACCCATCGGCGAGAGTTGTGCACTCTGGAACCCTGGAAAAGCCTGGTTTGGCCCATGCCCACAACACCGGTCTAAATTCTCTGTCTTTCTGCAAAGAAGCGGTTTACATACCGCAGCGGTTTTGACCATGCACCACCAGCAAAACCATTCGAGTACGTACTCGACAGACAGGAGATTAGCCGAAAGGATTCTGATCTGGTCCAGACACTCGGGATCTCTTTCGTGAGGTTTCGGGCAACACCCGCTACTACAGCATTTTCAGGCAATGGCCAACTCCCTGAAGCATATCCGAAGCCGAGTCAGCGCAATTGAGCGCGGTTTGGCAAGTTCACTCCGTGTTGGCCCCGAATGCCAAGAGCACGCCCCGAAAACCCCAAACCAAACATCAGCAAGGTTGGGGACCCAGCTTTCGAGTTGGCGCGGAAGCAGAACCAGGTAGGAGGGGCGGGGATGGCTTGGAGATGCTTGGAGGCCTTCGGAGAGGTTTGGGCTTGTCTCTTCCGCCAAGCGCAGCCAAAGGAGCTCTACACCGCGGCAAAGGAGGGCAATCTTGCAACACTGGCTGCTTGGTTGGGATCTGTCCGGAGGCTGTTCGTGGCAATTCTCAACTCGGGATCCGAGGAGCAGCTTATCGGTGAGGGTGTCCGCACCTCAGCAGTGTTGCAAGAGGAATCAGGATTCGGCTTAGTTGAACTTGCGTGTGGGCATGCTCTAATCTAAAGTCTAAAGGTCCTTGTCTTCGGATTTATACAAAGCGGTGAGAGACAGCACTTAGGGCAATGTGTCCGCGCAAGGGCAGCAATAATCCGCGAAATCTTTGACGTAACAGACTTGGGACAAGGAAATCTCAGAATCTGAGTCCGTGTTTGCATCTGTCATATTTGTCGTGTCAGCCGCCAGTTGCATTCAACAGGATTGTGCCTGGTCGTCGCCACCATCAGCCTCACCATCAGCATTACCATCATCATCACCTCCTCCTCCTCCTCATCATCATCATCATACTGACCAGCTGGACACTTGCGCAACATTCAGACTCCTGGGCGCTCTACGTGTCTGAAAAGCTTTGGTCTTTCTGGAAGCTGGCAATGTGACTTTGGGAGTATGTGCCGCCATGCTGCAGAGGGAGCTGCACTGCCTGTCTCTGCCTGATCGAATGGCTTGTGGGTGTTTTGGGTGAACCTATCAATGCTGCTGGGTTTCCTGACACTGCATAGCTGACGAGCATTGTGGCTTCTCTTTTGCTCGGGTTTGTCTAGAATGTGGCTGACACGCAGCTTGCGAATGATCAGATGATTTGTTGGATGCCGGAGTGGACCGTGCGTTGCGCTGAGGGTCTATATGCTAACCACCTCAGAATGATTGTGCTCGGTGTCGAGGCTGGCACTCTACCTTTTGGCTCTGTACAGCCAACAAACTGGAGGCTTTTGGCTGCTGGGGCCGTTCGGGACTGCGCTAGCGAGTATACTTGGAAGTAACCGAGAGTGGTAAGTGCACAACATTTCGAGCTTTCGCTGGAGTCGGAGACGTGCACCTGCTGGCTGCATGGCTGGAACACCCACCTGGCTGATGTCTGCTTGTGCTGGTGCAGAATGGTTGTGAGCACTCCGGATTAAGATTGGGCAAGGCCCTGGGTGGAATTGTGAGGCTTTGTCCAGTATCCCCTGAGAGTGGCCATCATGGTTGTAGAGCGACATGGGAGGCTCCAGACCTTGCCTTTGATTGAACTGTGGCACTGAGCCCTCGGGCGTTTTTGCTGGAGGGCTGCTGTGGAGTGACGTTTTGACATTTTCTGCCAAGTATCACCCGAGCGCCCAAGCCGACCTTTCTCTTTAGTCCCTCTGTTTAGTCCCCGTGGCTTAGGGGTCGTGGAGCCCTGATGTGACGGAACAAGGTTTTCGGAGACTGCCATGCGGCGGGAGCCAAAAAACCATCATCATGAGTGATGCCAATAAAGCAGGAGCAAGCGGTGCCGCTGCATCGAGTAAGATGCCAAAGCACGCAACCGCGGTGCCCATTGCACCGTCGGATTGCTGGGCGAAAATGGGCGGAGTGGCTCAATGCCGGACCTCAAGCCCGCTACGCCTTCGCACTGTCCGAGTGGACAAACAGCCAGCGGAAAGCCAAGGCCACTGCACCTGCAGCTGCGAGTGGCGGCGCCGCAGCCCCGCGGATAGTAGCGCGGCTCCTGCTGCGGCTGACGGTCCGCGCCTACCGGCACAAGCAGAGCCCAACCCATGGGGCAAGAAAGAGCGCCAGGGAGTTGGCGCAACAAAACGCAAATACGAAGCGAGGGTTAAGTATACCTCACCGAGAGGCGGAAACGTGAGCACAGCTTGCTGCGAAGGGAGATGGCGATCCACCTTCCGATGACGCAGCTAGTGCTCTCGAAGTGCCAGCACCAGACCAGCCACTCTGCCGGAGACTGCAGACGCGCCCCCGCGCAGGTACCAATGCGGCCGTCATGCAGGCTTGGGAGGCGCAAAAGGAAGGCTTTGTTATGGTAGTAGAGCCTCCTGCGCCGAGGCCGACTCGTAAGACCGCATGAGGAGTCGTGGAGGTGGTGGCTGACGAGGTAGCCACATTTGGTTGGGGACCGCGGCCGTCAGCTTAGACCAAGCTCCGCCTTCGGCGCAGTGGCGCTGGGCCAAATGCCAATCTGGCCCAGCACGCAGCTTGTGCCGCCTCGCCGCGCGCCGCCGCTGCTGCAGCGCTGACTGGAGCTGGTATTAGTGCTGAAGTTGCCGCTAGGATGCTGAGAGACCTGAGCGGAGAGGATACGGAAGACGGGCTAGTGCCCGAGCGGTGCTTCTTGAAGCCTCTCCTGCAAGAAGGGGCCGATGCCACATGCGTCGAGATCTCCTCAGCCTTTATGTATGGCGGTCCGAAGGTTACGGAAATGACTGTCGCGACACATGTGCAAGGAGCCTGCGCGCGCCTGGTGGTTGATCTCTGTGAAGAAAGCTCAGGCATGTAAGGAGTCTGGAAAGGCTTTGCAAGCCTTGCTGGACGCTGATGCCAGTGAGGACGGTTCAGTGCCGCGCTCTCTCCCGGGTCTACGGTGGCGGAGTGGGATCGGGCTGTGTTGTTCGTGGGATCTCGTAACCTTACCCGAGCATCGCAAGCGAATCGCGAGTTCGTGCAGCTGGTCACGAGGCCGGGCGATGACACCCTCGCGAGTACCGTTCCTGGTACCAGTACGAGCCATTTGTGGGCCACGTCCCAGCATTTGGAACTGGTTCACACGGCGCCTCCTGTTCGTCGTGTCCGGGGTAAAACCTCGTTGTCCCAAGCGTTGCCAGCCGTGCTCCGGGCAGTGATCCGAGTTTAGCGCTTGTTTGCAGACACTGAGAAAGGATAGCAGTAGCCGGATTTTTCAAAAACCGGGGCAGCTGAAACGGGCTGACCATGCTAAAGTATCCGACTACCGCCAGCTGTTGTTGCGATCAAGCGACACGCCCTGCCGTGGTGTGTTGTGCCTTGCGTAGTTAGCAGGCTAGTGCAATAGCCAGGATACCGACTGCTGAGAGCGCCCGCCGTGCGCCAAAACAGTTCGTGCGCTTTGCTGCCAGGTTTTTCCGGGTACAACAATTAACAGTTAGGCTCTTGCCCTTGGACCCGAAAGGATTGATTACTTTCAGGTCGCGTGGCGCTTCCTTCACCACTACTACTACTACTACT